TTTATTACACCGCTGCTACAGAAAAAGCTTTTAGGTCCCCTGCTGCATGTAAAATTATCCAAACGGGGCTAAATGGAATGTTCTCGGGCTATGTTCTGCGCAGATCGAATGTGTGAATGGGTAAAATACCGTCTTATAGCCAGTAGATGGGGCTGAGGAGCATACTTGGGGTCTATAATAACCAGAGCCATCTAGTGGCCATAATGTGGTATCGAACCCATTCGCACATTCGTTATTCAGAGGACATCGTCTGAGATCAATCGATTCGCCTCATTCGCACAGAACAAATTTACATGCAGTTTTGATGGAGGAACATCTATAAGATTTTTTTTTATAAAAGGCACCCAAATGTGTGAATATGTTTTGAACCCGAATAAAATGAAAGCAGCTCTGTATTTGTAATTGCAGCTTACCAAACATTAGATGTGGTGGCTGCATTAGTTTTCTTATTTTTTTTAGGCTTTTGCCCTCTGTTTTCACCTGGTGATCTGGCCAGTAACTCACCTACTGTGTTAGAGTGCCCCTACTCTGGATGAAGGAGCACAGGGGGTGCCTTTGGACAGCAGCATTGTCAGTCTGGGGGGGGGGGGGCAGCACCCTTGTCAGTGGTAAATGCTCCATGGAGGAAAACATGTTTGAATCTTCTCCATCCTCAACAGTCAACACGTTTCACATTGAGCTTCTTCAGGGCCGTATATTTGAGGAGGTGAGACACGAATACTGTAGAAGACATGACATAGAATAATCTCCAATACATAATGAATAGTAGAAACATTTTGATAAACAAAAAAAGGAAAAGAGAGGCTCACATGGGTGGGGTTTTTTTTTCTAATATATATTTTTTTGGATGTGGCACGGTGAAAGCTTCTATGGTCTACAAAGGAAAGAAAGCCTTAAAAGGAAAACTAATGCAGCCATCTAAGAATCAGTAAGCTGAAATACGAGGGTTTCTTCAAAACATTTCTGCACTTAATATATATATATATTATACACACACGCGCTATATTACCAAAAGTATTGGCCCCGCCCTCCCAATCATGTGATTCAGGTGTTCCAATCCCCTCCATGGACACAGGTGTATACAATCAAGCCCCTAGGCATGCAGACTGCTTCTACCAACATTGGTGAAAGAATGGGTCGCTCTCAGGAGCTCAGTGACTCCAAGCGTGGTCCCGTGATAGGTGGCCACCTGTGCAATAAGTCCATCCGTGACATTTCCTGGCTACTAAATATTCCACACTCACTGTTAGTGGGATTATAACAAAGTGGAAGCAACTGGGAACACACCCACTAACCCCCCTTCCCCCCCCCCCACCAAGTGGTAGGCCACGTCACATGACAGTGGGTCAGCACATGCTGAAGCGCACAGTGCGCAGAAGTCACCAACTGTCTGCAGAGTCAATACCTAAAGACCTCCAAACTTGGTGTGGTCTTCAGATGAGCCCAACAACAGTGTGTAGAGAGCTTCATGGAATGGGTTTTCATGGCCGAGCAGCTGCATCCAAGCCTTCCATCACCAAGTGCAATGCAAAGAGTCGGATGCCGTGGTGTAAAGCACGCCGCCACTGGGACTCTAGAGCATTGGAGACATGTTCTCTGGAGTGACCAATCACGCTTCTCTGCCTGGCAATCCGATGGATGTGTCTGGTTTGGCTGTTGCCAGGAGAACAGTACTTGCCTGACTGCAATGTGCCAGGTATAAAGTTTGGTGGAGGGGGGGATTATGATGTGGGGTTGTTTTTCAGGGGTTGGGCTTGGCCCCCTAGTTCCAGTGAAGGGAACTCTTAAGGCATCAGCATACCAAGACATTTTGGACAATTTCATGCTCCCAGCTTTGTGGGAAGAGTTTGGGGATGGCCCCTTCCTGTTGCAACATGACAGCCCACCAGTGCACAAAGCAAGGTCCATAAAGACATGGAGGAGCCAGTTTGGGGTGGAGGAACTTGACTGTCCTGCACAGAGTCCTGACCTCAACCCCATAGAACACCTTTGGGATGAATTAGAGCAGAGACTGTGAGCCAGGCCTCCTCCCCCGACATCAGTGCCTGACCTGACAAATGTGCTTCTGGAAGAATGGTCCAACCTTCCCATAGACACCCTCCTAAACCTTGTGGACGGCCTTCCCAGAAGAGTTGAAGCTGTTATAGCTGCAATGGCGGGGCCAACTCAATATTGAACCCTACGGACTAAGACTGGGGGGCCATTAAAGGTCATGTGTGTGGATATTGGGGGCAATATAGTGTGTGTATATATATATATATACACACACACACAATGTTTAACGAAGAGCAGAAACTTTTTGAAGAATAATAAACATTTGCTTTTGGGATTAATACCACTTTAAGCCATCATTCGATGCAGTATCAATGCAAGCAGTTGAATTCGATGAAGGTGATGTGGTATCGGCCTCCTTTAGTCCCTGTACAGCAGAGCTCAGACTGGAAGAGGGAGAAGCTCACCACTCTTTAATTCTCATTAACACTTGTTATAAAGAAACGCACTCCCAGGCACGCCTGTGTCAGGGGCGGACTGACCATTTGGAAACTCGGGCACTGCCCGAGGGCCCGGGGTCAGTAGGGGCACCCATGAGATGCGCCTGCTACCTTTTTCATAGGCTTTTTTGAGTTTGGGCAAGGACCCAGGGGCCCCATGATCCCCTATTGCCCGGGAGCCCCATGAGTTGTCAGTCTGCCCCTGGCCTGGAGTGTTTTCTCCTCCATACCTGGCTCAGGACGAGATCCAGGACCTCATGTTCTATTACCTGGTCTACAGCGCGTTACTAACTCACCGTGTCTCATTTTTCTGTTGTCACCCCGAGCCGGCTTCCAGACCAATCATCCCAACTCTGAGACAGGCTTAGAAAACAATTTACCGCCGATTGTCACACCGCGGATGCGTGTAATGCAGACGCACTCGGTCCCGATCCCTCGCAGGTCACATGACCAGAGCCAGCTCGCTGCCGCCTGCTTGTCAGGAGCCCCCTCAGGGATTGGGCTCCTCGCCCAGCCATTCCTACCTCTAAAGCTGCGCAGATTCTCAGTGGCAGTTCCTGAAGTCTACGGTTAAAAGGAGACACCGGGATTCTAGACTATATCTGCAAACTGTGTCCATTCCCTGGATGGAGCATTCAGAATGTTGATGTTTATTTAAAGTTGAACTTCAGTATTAAAGTGTTCCTGAACCCGCAACAGTGAAATCAGTCTGTAGATGCAGTAAAGCGTGCTTGTTATACTCACTGTGGAACCTAAGGGGTTAATCCTCTGCATTGTGTAAAAAGGATGTTTGATCCTGTCTTCTCTGATCCTCCCCTTCTTCCAGTGTCTACTAAATGTCTCCTAATAAAACAAAGGCTATGGGGCAAGCTGCACATGCTCAGTTTGGTGTGTATTGCTAGAGAGTTTTTTTCTTCTTTGGAGAGTGCATGTGATCAGCACAGCCCCAATTAGCACTGTCCAGACAGAGGTCAGGGGTCCTGCATCCTCCTGGAGCAGAATGAAAACTCCTTCTACAAGCTTTAATCAGTGCTCTGCTGGTCACTGATAGACATCACAAAACTGCTATATAGTGCTGATGACAAAAGGGATTTAGCAGTTAATATTTACTAAAATAGTTGGATTTCCATGTTGTGTGTACTGTGGGAGAGCGGATATAGTGAATGCAGGGTCCGGCGAGAGCGGATATAGTGAATGTGTGGTCCGGGGAGACCAGATATAGTGAATGCAGGGTCTGGGGAGACCAGATATAGTGAATGCAGGGTCCTGGGAGACCGGATATAGTGAATGCAGGGTCGGGGAGAGCGGATATAGTGAATGCAGGGTCGGGGAGACCAGATATAGTGAATGCAGGGTCCTGAGAGACCGGATATAGTGAATGCGGGGTCCGAGGAGAGCGGATATAGTGAATGCAGGGTCCAGGAAGACCAGATATAGTGAATGCAGGGTCCGGGAAGACCAGATATAGTGAATGCAGGGTCCGGGAAGACCAGATATAGTGAATGCAGGGTCCGGGGAGACCAGATATAGTGAATGCAGGGTCCGGGGAGAGCGGATATAGTGAATGCAGGGTCCGGGGAGAGCGAATATAGTGAATGCGGGGTCCGAGGAGAGCGGATATAGTGAATGCAGGGTCCGGGAAGACCAGATATAGTGAATGCAGGGTCCGGGGAGAGCGGATATAGTGAATGCAGGGTCCGGGGAGAGCGGATATAGTGAATGCAGGTCCGGGGAGAGCAGATATAGTGAATGCGGGGTCCGGGGGAGAGCGGATATAGTGAATGCGGGGTCCGGGGAGAGCGGATATAGTGAATGCGGGGTCCAGGGAGAGCGGATATAGTGAATGCAGGGTCCGGGGGGGAGAGCGGATATAGTGAATGCGGGGTCCGGGGAGAGCGGATATAGTGAATGCGGGGTCCAGGGAGAGCGGATATAGTGAATGCAGGGTCCAGGGAGACCAGATATAGTGAATGCAGGGTCCGGGGAGACCAGATATAGTGAATGCGGGGTCCTGGGAGACCGGATATAGTGAATGCAGGGTCTGGGGAGACCAGATATAGTGAATGCAGGGTCCGGGAAGACCAGATATAGTGAATGCAGGGTCCGGGGAGACCAGATATAGTGAATGCAGGGTCCGGGGAGAGCGGATATAGTGAATGCAGGGGGGTCCGGGGAGAGCGAATATAGTGAATGCGGGGTCCGAGGAGAGCGGATATAGTGAATGCAGGGTCCGGGAAGACCAGATATAGTGAATGCAGGGTCCGGGGAGAGCGGATATAGTGAATGCAGGGTCCGGGGAGAGCGGATATAGTGAATGCAAGGTCCGGGGAGAGCAGATATAGTGAATGCGGGGTCCGGGGAGAGCGGATATAGTGAATGCGGGGTCCGGGGAGAGCGGATATAGTGAATGCGGGGTCCAGGGAGAGCGGATATAGTGAATGCAGGGTCCGGGGAGAGCGGATATAGTGAATGCGGGGTCCGGGGAGAGCGGATATAGTGAATGCGGGGTCCAGGGAGAGCGGATATAGTGAATGCGGTCCAGGGAGACCAGATATAGTGTGCAGGGTCCGGGGAGACCAGATATAGTGAATGCGGGGTCTGGGAGACCAGATATAGTGAATGCAGGGTCTGGGGAGACCAGATATAGTGAATGCAGGGTCCTGGGAGACCGGATATAGTGAATGCGGGGTCCGGGGTGACCGGATATAGTGAATGCAGGCTCCGGCTGAGCGGATATAGTGAATGCGGGGTCCGGGGAGAGCGGATATAGTGAAGTCTGTGCTCTGTGCAGTCTATACTGTGTGCGCTCTGTGCTGTGTGTGCAGGCTATGCTGTGTGCGCTCTGTGCAGTCTATGCTGTGTGCGCTCTGTGCTGTGTGTGCAGGCTATGCTGTGTGCGCTCTGTGCAGTCTATGCTGTGTGCGCTCTGTGTTCTATATAAAATCCCAGCAGTCACCTGTGACTTTTCAGTGTTTTAGGATTTCATAAAAGACAAACCTGTTGCCCAGGACAGATGTGAGCGCACCTCATACAGACCCCGGCCTGCTCCTCTCCCAGGCTTAGCTAGCCGCTGCACAGAATGGAACAAGAGTGGCCCCTCTGGTCCCTCCCCAGCAGGAACAAGTTGAATGGCTTTGTGTGCGCTGTACAGGGCCGCAGACTATGTTGGCGCTATATCAATGATTACAGCAAACATCTCAGCCCCTTTACATGACCCCTGTCTGGAAAACATCAGTATTTGCTTTTCAAGGTTATGCTTTAAAGCAGCCAGAGCGCCATCTAGTGCACCAGGGGAGGCAGTGCATTTTATATCAGCACTGAAAGTCGTCCTTAGTGTTGGGTGACGTTGGGCTGCATTTATAACACAGAATTATACGATTTTCAATATCTCCCCAGTGCATTTAGGCCACACAATACACTTGCAATCTTGGATATTGCAGCACACAGATGTGAACCATTTATGTGTTCTAGTGTAAAACAATCCGGAACGTCCGCTGCAAATGCTGCGATATTAAATGTGCATTGGAAGCCCACTGATAGCAAATGATCCATCTTAATACACGGCTCAAACAAAAATGAAAGGACCACACACTCTTAACCCTTTGATTGCCCCTCATGTTAACCCCTTCCTGCCCAGTGCCATTAGTACAGTGTCAGTGCTTTTTATTAGCACTGATCACTATATCAGTGTCACTGGGGATGTCAGTGGCAGTTAGTTAGTCCATCCATCCATCCAACCCCCCCCCCCCCCCATGTCTGAACGCTAGCCACAGTCCTGCTGATCGCCGCCAATACTACAAAAAATTCCAGTATATACACCGCCATTTGTAAACGCTATACAAAAACTTTCACACAAATTAATTTACATGTATTGGGATTTTTTTTTTTCACGCAAAGACATGGAGTGAAATACATTTTGGCCTAAACTTATGACGAAATTTGACTTAACATTTTTTTACTGGACGTGTTTTATACCAAAGAGGCAAAAATTTTTTTTTTTTCAGTTGTTTATTGTCAGTCTTGTTTATAGCGAACAAAATTAAAAACCACACAGACGACCAAACAGAAAGCTCAATTGGGGGGGAAAAAAAAAGACAAATTTAATTTGAGTGCAGTATTACTTTAACTGACAATTGCACAGTCATGCAACGCAGCACCATATTGCAAAAAAATGGCCTGGTCAGGAGGGGGGGGGGGGGGGAATCCCCTGGAAGGCAAGGGGGTTAAATGCATACCAGAATGTAAACAGCTGTGCTGACAGCGCACTCCCAGCACAGTTACCATTGGTTAATGTACAGCTCCCAATCTCTACTTGCGATTGGGAGCTTTCAAATCATGTGACCACTGTGACATCCAATCAGAAATCCCACCCCGCCTCCCAGTATCAATAACTCCTTAAGGGGCCAAGAGGCACCGCCATCTACGGGGTTATGCATTTCACGCATGGAGTGATAGGACTGAACTCCCTTGCAAATTCAACAGTGTTGGCGCAGTGCCAGCACCTCTCCGTTAAGCATTGGCCCTGGAGAGCTGCGGATCATCTGGTGCAAATGCTTGACAGAGGGATGCCGTCACTGCGCCAACACTTTTGAATTCGCAAGGGAGTTCAGTCCTATCACTCCATGTGCTTTAGTTGTAGCCCTGATTTTTGTCTGCTTTTTACAGAAGCTTTGTGAATACAGAGGGGGGGGGGGGGGGGGGGGGGGACACGTCTCTGCGCTGGAGGGCTGCGGGTCATCTGGTGCAAATGCTTGACAGAAGGGTGCCAGAATTGCGCCAACACTGTTGAATTCGCAAGGGAGTTCAGTCCTATCACTCCATGCACTTTAGCTGTAGCCCTGACTTTTGCCTGCTCTTTACAGAAGCTTTGTGAATACTGAGGAAGGGGAGGAATGTCTCTGCACCAGCTGACCCACAGCTCTCCAGGGAAGAGACATTCCTCCTCTTCCTCAGTATTCACAAGGCTTCTGTAAAGAGCAGGCAAAAGTCAGAGCTACAACTAAACCGCATGGAGTGATAGGACTGAATTCAACAGTGTTGGCGCAGTTCTGGCACCCCTCTGTCAAGCATTTGCACCAGATGACCCGCAGCCCTCCAGGGCAGAGACGGTCCCCCCACTTCCTCTGTATTCACAAAGCTTCTGTAAACAGCGGACAAAAATCAGGGCTACAACTAAAGCGTGGCTCCTCTGTAAATAGAAGCCCCCCCCCATGTCTTTCAACAATTCCCATTCAAAGTTTCAAGGTTGTTGTTGAACAAACTTTCCGCGATATCGCCGTTACATAGTGCGCATTTCATCTCCACCGTGGACCCGCAGCATTCTTCGCATAAAGCATCTGCTATTTCTTCAGCTAAAGTGCAGAGGATCCGAACGCCCACTGGAAGCCGCTACTGCCAACAAGCCTATTCAGAAAGGCGCCATTAAAAGCCAGCGAAAGCCAAGCAATGCGCGGGGAGAGAAGGTCATCGATTGAGTGGAACAAAGAGCGACAAAGAAGAAGACGCTATTTGTTGCCTTTGTACAAAGACGGTTAGTAAAGCGGAGGGGGTGGGGGGGACAGGGAGGGCACTTTCAAGTAGTTTTAAAATAAATGGTCTTTGTAGGAGCCCTCGGCGTGTTTACCTGTGTATTCAGCGGCACGCGGTATTCACCGCGGTATGTATAGCGAGAACGGCTTCCATAAGAATGGGCTGCTTGTCTAAAGTGGTATTTGATGATGGTTGGCGCGGTTACAAGAAAACTGTACAAAAGACCGGCAATAAAACTGTTGACATCCGTTTTCTGGAGCATGTACCGCAAAACTGTTACATTCCTCGCCACTTCCGACAGAACACATGATGAAAAACACCAGCAGAGGTTACCATGTGTGAAAAACGCATGGCTAGACAGCCAGGTTGCTGGGCCCACAAACCAAGACGTGCCCTAATAGGCTCATCGGGGGCCAACTTTACCAAGCCTTTGGGTATGCATGGGAGTTGGCCAACCCTACTCTACCCCATACTGGACTCCAAGAGAACTTTTTGCTTCTCCCTCTAGGGTAGCCATCCTCAACCAAGTATCCATGGAACCCAAAAGGTTCCTCCATACTGGACTCTAAGAACTTTGAGCTTCTCGCTCTAGGGTAGCCATCCTCAAAGTTCTTAGTGTCCAGTATGCAGGAACCTTTTGGGTTCCATGGACACCTGGTTGAGGATGGCTACCCTAGAGGGAGAAGCTCAACCAGGTGTCCATGGAACCCAAAAGGTTCCTCCATAGGTTGCTAAGGGGCCGATTGTCTTCTTCTTTGAGGGTGCCTTCATAGTTCCAAGGCCAACACCACTTGGTAATGTCAGCAGCATGACAACAACAATCTTTTGGCCATCTGCAAGGCAAGGGGGGGGGGGGGGGGGGGGGTATCCTGATTACAATGTTAGGGGAGAATTCTCACCACTGCCTCCCGATGAATTGGTTTTAGCAGGGGTTCCCCAGGACATGAAAATTATTTCAATTTTAATCCTAGGGCAGTGGTCTCCAAACTGCAGCCCTTTGCTTGCCTTCATCAGGTCTTTGGGCCTCTCACTGATATAAAACAGTGCACCGCTATTCCTCCCACTGACACCAACAGTGGGACACTATTCCTCCCACTGATATCAATGATGAGACACTATTCTTTTCATTGACACCAACAGTGGAACACTATTCCTTCCACTGACACCAAACAGTGGGAAACCGTTCCTCCCACTGACGCCAACCCTATGATGGGGCACTACTCCTCCCACTGCCATCAATGATGGGACACCATTCCTCTTACTGACACCATTGATGGGACACTATTGCTCCCACTGACACCAATAATGGGACACCATTCTTTGCATGGACACAAACAGTGAAACGCTATTCCTTCCACTGCCACCAAGAGTGAGAAACCGTTCCTCCCACTGACACCAACCCTAGGATGGAGCACCTCTCCTCCCACTGCCAAGGATGGGACACCATTCCTATCCCTGACACCATTGATGGGACACCACTCCTTTCACTGACACCAACAGTGGGACACTATTCTTCCCAATGACGGGATACCATTCTTTTCACTGACACCAACAGTGGAACACTATTCCTTCCACTAACATCACTGATGTGACACCATTGCTCCCACTGACCCTAGCAGTGGGAAACCGTTCCTCCCACTGACACCAACCCTATGATGGGGCACTACTCCTGCCACTGCCAACAATGATGGGACACCATTCTTCTCACTGACGCCATTGATGGGACACCATTCTTTTCACTAACTCCAACAGTGGGACACTATTCCTTGCACTGACACCAATTATGGGACACTATTCCTCCAACCGACCCCAACAGTGGAACACGATTTCTTCCACCGACATCGCTGATGGGACACCATTGCTTCCACTAACACCAACAGTGGGAAACCATTCCTCCCACTGACACCAACCCTATGATGGGGCGCTACTCCTCCCACTGCCACCAATGGGCAGTATTCCTCCTCCTGCTGACCACAGGTACCATGTAGTTTTACTCCCACTGACCACGAAGACTGGAACCTTGTCTATTCCCACTGATGCTGGGGCATCCCCATTGGTCACAGTCCAGCTCACCTGAAGTCTGTAGGACACTAAACTGGTCCCTTGGTTAGGAGGTTTGGAGACCCCCTGCTCTAGGGTAAGAAGGTTGAGAAAGGCTGCACTAGGGCCTTATGCATACTGGGCAGGCATTTGGCTCCGATATGTGGGATCCCGGCACTTTGGTACAAGTGGAGATCACTGGTGCACCATCCACCCCACTGCCAGGAGCCTGTAAAACTCTACAGAAGGCTGAAAGATGGCGCACCCAGTGGTACTAATATTTATGGCAGTATG